CATTTTTAAAGGATGACCATTTTTCTTCCATCATAACATGAGTTTCTATGTCAGAGCCCATAGGTCAATGATTTATCCATAAATTATGACTTAGAAAATATTTTCTGTTTTCAGGGAAGTAGCATGGACCAGTGAATCATGCTGACAGTCATACTATGGCTTTCCTCTTGATTCTGATCTATCATTTAAACTACTTACCTTATACCAGATCCATAAAAAGATATGTATTAGTTTTTCCATGTCAAATGGAATTATTAGAATATTCCCAAATTTTAAAATAACTTTTATAAGCTATGGAAGGGTCTAGATAAATGTTAAAGAATAATGACTTTCTGTAATTGCAATTTCACTGTAAGTTTTCTAGTTTTCTATTTATTCAGGCTTCTTCTGAAAACACATTTTTAAATATTCTATCCATTAAAAAGCTTAACAGCAAAGAACTGAGGTCTAATTTGGGACTGGCTCAGTGTACAGCAGCAAAACCTGATTTTCCACATCACATTAATGTACAGTAGTAGTAAGATACTATTCATGTAGTCCAGATAGAGAAGAAAACAAATTATTCAGCAAAGATTTATGGTGGGGAATGAAGCAATCTTCTTGGTCACCTCCATTACATCTAATCAAGACTCGAGATGACCTAAGCAGTCGACTTGCAGAAAAAATAAAACCATTAATTTTTAACATTCTGCAATAACAAATTAAAACTGAAATGGTGCAGAACAGCTTGACATCTTCACAGTTCCTGCTCCTTTGTCCTGGCTATATGCTTCCCCATAAACCAAGTCCTCTGAATGGCTTGATTCCCCAGTCTGGTGCTTTCTCACAAAGCTAAGCTCCTGAGCATCATGGTGTTGGACCAGACGAGGGGGAAGGAAGGCTGCAGCTCTTTGATTCCACAGCAGGTTATGGCAATGCTGAACCTCAAGGCTTGAGGAGCACCAAATGGCGAAGACAAGCTAAGGTGGGAATTGTGAGCATTCCCAGAAGGTACAAACAATGATGTGCTTGGCAAAACTTGGGCGTTTCAACAAGTTGCCTAAAGCATGTGAAATCAGAGGGTTGGGAATCCAGCCAAAACAGCTGGTTATGAAAAAAAACTTTGCTTCTTGAGGTGGTTGCAAAGGGTCTGGATGCTCAACTCAACAGACTTTTACTGGTACCAGACACCAAGCGTTTACAAAAGTCCCTTCAAAATCCACCTTAAACAACCAATACAAAGCTTTAAGCTTTCCAAACCAAGTAATACACAAAATGGGTCTCACCCCAAAGAAAATGTCCTGTTACAAGGAACAGTGTAATACTGTACTTTGATTTTTCTTTCTGAGATTGTCTCATAAGTGTAGTATCAACTTTACCAATTCAGATAATCTGATTGCTAATGTGAATAAAAAGGCCTTAAGGAACATTTCTCATTACCATTACATTCAGAAATTAACTGTACTTTAGTTCCAGGCACCAGATATACTTCACAACCTTTTCCCCCCAAAAAAAACCCTTTAAAACTGTAAAAGATCTTACAAGAACTGTATAGTTGTTCAGTACATATGCTTTTCTTCCAGTCTGATCTCTACATAGTGCAGTAAGAGCAAAACATCCTGCACCAAGGCCACCAGCTCCTCATGCAATCACCCTGCTACCAGGCAGGCAGGGGTGTGACCCAAGGACATAGAAACATAGAATTGTTTTGGCTGGAATGGACCTTAAAGATCATCTAGATCCTCCCCTCTGCCATGGAAAGGGACACCTTCCACTAGACCAAATTGCCCAAAGCCCCATCCAACCTTGCCCTGAACACTTCCAGAGAGGGGCATCCATGACTTCTTTGTGCAACACAACTTCTCTGGGCAAGGCACACCCTGGCTCGAGGCTGGAGAGGAAAAGCAAGGTGACAAAATACATTCCAGTGGTTTGCTGCCTCTTCAGTATAATTTACTGGAATTTTTTAAGCAATTCATAATCATGCAAAGTGCAGAGAGGAATCTCTGTATGCCACATCAGCCACAGGAGGCCGAGGTATTCTACAAAACAGCAATATATGTCCCTCCTGCTGGAACCAAGATTACAGAATCAGAGAATGTTTGGGTTGGAAGGGACCTCCAAAAGTCATCTAGTCCAACCCCCCTGCTATAAGCAGGGACATCTCCAACTAGATCAAGGTGCTCAGAGTCTCATCAAGCCTGACCTTGAATGTCTCCAGGGATGGGGCCTCCACTACCTCTCTGGGCAACCTATTCCAGGGATCTGTTACCCTCATATTAAAGAACTTTTTCCTAATGTCTAACCTAAATCTACCCTATTCTAGCTTAAAGCCACTACCCCTTATCCTGTCAAAGATAAAAATTTCCAGGGAGGAAAATGCTGATTTGTTTAGGAAATCAGTAAATGCTGTAGTCTAGTGTCTGAGATACCTTCCCAGGAGATTGTCCACTTGGGTTCAAGAATTGTTTTGTTACACAAAATAAAATACCTCAACAGCAGCGTGCAAGAGTGTGCCCAGACCAGAACAGCCCATCTCCTAAGTCAGAAGGAGTCTGTGCAAAAATGGGACTCAAACTGGGTCTCCATATTCTACATAAGTGCTTTAACCACTCAGTTGTCAGACAGATGGATGGATGGCCTCCTCTTTCTTTGTGTTTTCCATCTCTTGTTTCCTCAAGGATTCAGGGAAAAAAAAACAACTTTCAATTTGGTTAATTTGAGCAGCTAAAGGATTCATTTTTTTTCCCTCCACATTCATTGCATCAGATAAACTGTTAACTGTCTACACTGGCTTGGAATTAGGGACAAAGAAAAAGGGAGCCAACTTCAAAAAACACTAGTAAGTTCTGAAAATCACAGCACAGAAAATAAAAATTTGGAAGTGGTGACAGAACTACTCAAGTCACAGCTCAACTTCACATAAAACTGTTTCCCAGCATTATCTGTTGTAAAAACTGCCAGAGCATCTTAAGAACAATAAAAATATCCCACTGAAATCAAGCTGCCACTGCTTTTATTCATCATTATACACTCTGCCCCTCCAATAACCTGCTATATTTTTGGATCAGAGGTTTAAAATTTAATATATCACAGTACAGTAGGTGTCTGTTCCCTCATATAGCCCTAATATGCCAGACTGAAAATGATGTAATTTCAGGCACCAGGAACAATTTCAAATGTCATTTTAAATATAACTTGTTACTGAATTAGGTGCCAGTTTTTCTCATTGGATCAATTAGCAACAGGGATGGAAAACTCATTCTCCAACTGGTAAATTGCAGAGAAGAATCCAGAAGCAAGTTATACGTAATAAGCATTTCTTAGATCCCATAACAGCAGTAGAGAGAGTAATTGCAGGATATCCCTCTGCCTGCAAGTCATCCCTCTTCCTGCCCACACGAGAAGCATTCATTAAATGGAGGGGTTTTTCAGAAGAGAAGGTGCCTTCACATACCTAGTTTACCACTTTTACTGAGAAAAAAAAATACGTGTTTTGTTACAGAAAGCCAGTTCAAAAGAGAATACATCTGTTTTGGTCTGAAATTTTCCACAGGAATCATTTCCAACATGAGTAGACCCCACCAGCCATAAATATTTGCCTGCTCGATGCCGTATGGCTCACGCTGGGGCACGGAAAGTAAACCCTTTGCTTTTTTATATCCTAGAAAGATCACCCCAGCTGCTAAACTTTTCAAAACAATTTCTAAATGATCATTTTCTCCTGTAATAAAAGGGTCGAAATGAAATGTTCGATGAAATAAAAACACAGATGCAGCCAACATCTGGTCCAACCTCTTAAAAGCTTATTTAAAAGCAGTAGCATCACGTGGCACAGCTCTTAGACATCACGGATTTCTTCAGTTAAGAAAAACAACCACTTTACTGCAAGGCACAGGGAAAAAAATAAGTCAGGCACTAAAAACAACAACCCCTCCCCCCAAATCCAGTTCTTAATGAAAGTATCATCAGAAAGAGCTTAGAGCCAGGCCGGGAGGAGCAGCCTCCTCCATCCTTACCTAACGCCTCTGTGGCAAGTGGAGGAGGATGGGCGTTTCTAGAGCTTTCCACCAAGGTCCCAAATCAGGTACATTAATGCCACTTAAAGCCATCAATCACCCAGCCAGCTCCCCCAATACTTAAAAATAACACCCCCAAAAGCCCTTTCTTTACAGCTTTTTAACACCTTCCCAACTGACTCCAGTAGATGCGAGCGCTACAATCAGACACTGGGGATTAGGTTTGTAAACCTGTAGGATTATTTACTGTTCTTGCCATTACTAAATGCACATTAAACCCTCTTTCAGCACACTGTCTCCCCCTCTCCCTGCCTCTGTGCAGCAAGTTCAACGTATACACAGCATGCTGTTATGGGGATTTATTACAGAAGAATCATTCCAGCCGATATATTTTAAACCCCATATTTTTAAAAACAGCCATGTGAAGAATGTGTTTTTCTGTTTCTGTTACAAGAGGCAGCACTATTTATTGCGCTGCCAGATAAGAGGATTTCCTTACAGACAGCAGTGGAGGCTGAACACTTCCCAGGAAATCCTCTGGAGCAGATCTAATAGAAGGCACTTGGTGCTCTGGTCCCATGCAGAAAATACACCCTCCGCCACACCGTTTTTTGTAACGGTCAGAGCTGAAAGAGTTTAAACAAAGAACTCTTCCACCTGTTCAGCACACCACCAGATGCTAA